GGCCGATTTCTGGAAAGAAGCAGCGGCACACACGTGAGGAAAATGTGATGAAGTTCCTGAAAACACGACCTCCCGCTTCGGTACAGAGCTCACTCTGGAGAACCCTCCCGAAGCCCCAGCTTTGAAAAGTCTCACGAGAACAGGGCTTCAAGTCAGCCACTGCGACGACAATGACAGCAAATGTGAACCAGCCCTGACAAGGGTCCACAGAGCCACGCTCCTGCAAAACTTCCCGGGCTCTACAGAGTCGCTGCCTTTGGTTTCCAGCTGGGGGGCTGCTAAGACCTACTCATTCCAGTGACGATGAAAATACCGCAGAAGACAAGTTCAGAACTTAGCACGTGACGTGTCTCAAAGTAGGTAAAGATGTGCGTCTTGCTCCTGTTGTTATCACGTCAGCGAGAGCTGACCATCAACAGCAACAAAATACCGTGTGTGTTTAGTAAGTGCTTCTTTGGATGAATTCAAGGAGTAACACGGCAGAAGGGGGAGGACACAGTCACTCACTCATCACTGTGAAGGCTTCGGGGTCTCCGGGCAATAGCAAACCAACCCGCGCCCGCACGGCCCACACCCCTCCTAGTCGCTGTTACTGACTTGACCACCAACGCTCACTCCAGTCTAAGAAGCATTTCAAGAGGGAAAAGCAGATACAATCCATCCTGGCAGCTTTTCTTTTTTAATGAAAGAAGTTTCTTAAAGAACTATAGAAACTCTTTCAAAATTTCTGATTGCAAGAAACCGTAGATACCTTTCTCATATTACCATTCATACATTTTCATTACACACATGCATAGAAACCAAGACCTCAGGAGGAGGTCAGACGCTGCAGAGTACAGGGCCGGTGTGTGAGTGTGGGTCAGTGAGGGGTGGGGGGGAGCAGGAGAGGAGGCTGGGAGAGCTTCACTGAAAGAGCCGCAGTATAAGATCACAAAGATCACGCGGTCAACTTGGGTTTCATCCCTGGCTTGATTAAATCCATGCCGAGAGCCACCTTGTGTCAGTCCCAGTGCTGTTCACACCCAGAGGCCAGAGGAGACAAAAGAGGCTATTTTTCATCCACTTCCTAGGCTCACGAAGGACAAGCTGTGTCTTTCAGTGGCTTTGCCACTTGAAGCAATTGCCCGTAGAATAAAGAAATGGACGGTTCGGTCAGACGTGACTCTGGTCTACACGACACTCACACAAGCCAGGGACTGAGAGGGTGCAACAGAGGTGAGAGCAAAGAAGTGGAGGAGGAACATTAGTTAAGGAGTCAGAACACAAGAGAATAATTTAAGAGGAAGAGCAGTGTTTATCACTGTAAACACAAACCCAAGGTGCCAGGAAAGCAGGCATGCTGTGACTGTCTAGGTCTTGCGCCGGGAGAGGATCACAACCACCCCATGGACGCTGTGCTCAGAGGGCACAGCAGCGAGCGGCCTGGAGTCAGAGCCCCGGTGCCCACGCTCCTCCTCACCTGAACCCTGGCGGGGCCGCCCACCCCATCTCAGCCAAGCTCCCTTCCCGGGGGTGGGCTGGTTCCTACAGCCACCACCAACTGCACTGGGACCCGTGCCCCCTGACCACCTCTAGCTGACTCGCCCCTAAACCTGGCCCCACTGCCACCCTATCGGGGGAGCAGACAGCCGTCAGGTCTGGTTCTGTCTCTCCTGAACTCTGGCCCCACAGCCTTGGGTCAGCTCCTGACCTTGCTGTGGCATAGCTTCCTCGTTTCCTTGTAAAATCTGTGCCATGTACGCATTGTCTGTTGTCCTAGCACCCTGGCCTGAGGGCGCCCTGCCTGCCTGAGGTTGGCACGTCAAGCTGGAGGCCGGGACCCCGTTCCTGCACTGGCGGAGGGGCTGCTCCCCCACCACCCATGTTCTTGCAATAAATTCCTCTCCACTGACAGCCACGTGCAGCCCGAAGCGCAGGATGATGAGCTGTGTGGAGGATGACTCGGAGGTGGTGCCCACGCACCCCAAGTGGCAGAGCAGCGCAACTCCTCACAGGCTTCCACGTGCTTCCCGCGTGTCGACTGCTCGACTCACAGAACATGGAAGGAAGCCTCATGCTCATCTGGGCACGAGGGAGCTGTGACCCTGAGAGGTTCTGTGCCAAGGGCCACCCAGGAGATCGAGGTCTGAGCCCCAGCTGCACCCAGAAGAGATGCCACATCCCACCGCACCCTGGGGAGAAGGGCTGCGTGGGAGGGAGCTGAGTTCCCCGGGAGCGTGTGATGGGAGGCCGGAGGGGAGGCTGAGGCCTTGCTGGCGGGGACCCGGGCCTGCACGACCTCTGGACATACCTGGCTGCTTCTGCCGAGGCTTAGGCAGGTTGGTGACGCACGTGTGGGGGCACATCAGGACGTTGCAGGGGTGAAGCGAGCCCTCCAGGAAAAGCTGCTTCGTTTCGGACAAATGGATCCCCCCGAGTGGGGTTTTGGGGAGGGTGTTGGCCGGAACCAAGGCCAGACAGTAAACCCCAACTTGATGTATGCTGTCGATCGCCTGCAAAGTCACAGAGAGGAAACTGTGTGAAACCAGGTGTGACGGACAGCCCTGGAGCAGATCCTCAGATGTGCAAACCCAGCACACAGAAGCTGACACAGCACAAGGGGGGCCCCTGGCTCACCACACCTCACTGAGCAGAATGCACCGCAGGACATGTGGAACAGCACGCACGTGCTCCAGGTCATAACAGAAACGTCCCCTCGAGACTCCACAAGCAAGTGGGAGCCAGTTCTGCAAATCCCCGAACCCTGACCCGAATCTCAGTCTGTACAGCCACCTCCCTAGGACGCAACTGTGAGTTCACGGTCAATACAGCTGCTGGGTGAGTGCGGGGATGACCAGAGAGCACAGCAGCCACACCCCCAGAGGTTAGGGGCGCAGGGTGGGGGGTGCCAGGAGGA